AGGCAATGTTGTTGTAAAGTGTTTTATTTCACTTTGCAGACTGAACTGCAATTCCAAATGCATGCAAACAAACAATACAAAGACATCAACGCCGAGTCTTCTTAGCAAAGAACGACCCAGTCGGGACCGCAGAGCCTGCGGGTCCTGACAAAAATGAACATTGAAAATAAAAAAAATAAAAAACAGAAAGCGCAACCAAACAGGTTCGAACCCAGTTGCAAAAAGAAAGAAAAACCTTCAAGACGCTTGGTCTAGACAGCTCGAAGTCAACGATGGGCGAAATGGGATTCGATCGCAGGCATGAAACTACACTTTCTCATCCTGCTCCAATCGCGCGTATCTCGATTGGACAATATGTCATTATATCTCAGAATACTACAAGTCGAGAAAAGGAGCACGAAACACCGCGAAAAGACACGCAAACGGTGAGAACAAGCTCACTCGTTTCGTGTTATCGCCTGTCCTGTCGCTGCATTGGCCCCTTTTGCCCCGCTCGCTGCTTTGAATGATACTAGAATGAGCGGTCGTCCTAACGCCATATTGTATTATGGTGTGCGGGGCGCGGTTTCTGCCATTTTGAAGCGAACATTCGCGAAAAATGAAGCCGGCCGCAGGCGTTCTTTGAACACTCTGTTTCCATGCTGTTACTGCCACTGGACTGGAACTGCTGCGACATCACTTGAGTAAAACCACACGATAATGAATACTCACATCACCACCCTTCACAATCTTTGTCACAGGCCGGTATCAGGCTCGCGGAAGTGACACCCATCGCGACAAACAACGCAACAACCGATCAACGCTCGTTTTTCAGCGCACACTGCACGCTTGACGTCAGCGTTGACTTGTATTACATTTGAATGATTTTTGACACGCACTGGTGTACAGTGAGGACCGAGTGCCGCAAGACTGCCGGCAGTACAAGTAAGGGAAGTGACCGATTTGAGCTCACTTTTGTTTTTATGTCAGAAGATTGGCTTTCATTTCAGCGGTGCATCTGCACCATGTGCGCAGCCGCCTTTCAAACGAATCCATGCAGTTCACCACAAGCTTGGATGTCGGATGCTGACAGAAAGCTTCATCATCAAATCCACAAAGTGCCGCTGTCAGGAGTCTGCCCTTGTTTGGACTGCACCAAGTTCGCCATCAAGCAATGGTCTTTCGGCAACAGCAAGTTCGAGAAACGTTCGCTGTCAAGTTTCTACGCACACTTGAAAACATACCCGTATGCAACCGTTGCTGATGTCATCCAGGCGTATCCCGAAATGCGACAACGCTTTGAGACGCACTTTCGAGAGGAGCAAACTGTTCCAATGGCGGTGGATTCTACTCCCCCTACTCCGCCACTGCACGCGTCTGAGCCAGCTGCCATGGCAGTGGATGACCATGGTGTCGACTACGATGATGGCTTCGGCGATGTCCACGTCGCTGACCACGGTGACGCTCCTCAAGCTCCTCTGGGAGCTGATGACGACGAATACGAAAGCGACTTCGAATTGGACGTCGAAGCGACTGACGAAGCGGACGATACCTCGAACAATGCCACAATCAATGACCCGAGCGAGACGTCAGAGGAGGCGACTGCAGCACCAGGAGCGGCCGAACCAGGAGCGGCCAAAAACAAAGGACCGACACCTAGAGCAACTCGCACAGCTGCTGCGTATCTGCAGCTTCTCCAATTCCTCAATGACATCAAAATCAAAGGCAAGGTCACGAAAGACATCTTCACTCAACTTCTCACGGGTATCCACAAGTACTGCTCCGAGATTAAAGCAATCTTGGATGATCATTCGACGAGATTGGTCTCTTTGTTCCAGACGTTTCTTTCGGACGTTCAACAGCGTACAAATGTCGACCCAATTGCGTCTGCGGGCGCGTTCTTAGTCCAATGTCAAGAGAGTTATCCTGTGATTCAAGGTAAGCACGTCGAATTGGTGGCTGGCGAGGGATTGCTCTCTAACTTTCGAATGTTCCAGTTGTTCCTCCGACCATCCATCGATTTACGAAGGCTCTCAGACTCGTCAATCTTCTCCCGCCAGCGTCACCTGTCGACAAGAACAATTATTTTCAACGCATGAAAAACCTGTACACTGATAGCGACCAGATCAAGTGGTACCGCGTTGGCTGTGCACACTCACTCAGTTTGAAGGAAGTGCTGGTATCCGAAAACGTGTGTAGCCAATGTGGTGCATTCGGAGCGAAGTGTTCACAATGCACCTACTCCGGTTGCTTTCGTGGTCCTGTGAACCAGCTTCTCGCGCATCGATGCACCAACACCAATTGCCCTGCCCGTTTCTCACGTGAGACCATCTACCCGTACATGTCGCTTATTCCGCGTTTGAGAAACATGTTCGCGGATGAAAATCAAGTCAAGGGCCTCGTCGACAGGTTCGGCATCGACTTCAGCGATCCGCAACAAGTTCAAAGAGCCTTGACCGACGATTGGCCGTCAACCATCACCAGGCACAACGACAAGCTTGACTCATTGCGCAGCTTCAGCCACCCGCTGGAAGGGCTGCATTTCCGTACACCAAGTCGTCGCACGTTCCTGTCAGAGTCTCCTTGGAACATCAGCCTTGCTTTCTTCTATGACGGGTAAAGCGCTTGAAAGACCATGATGGCGGGAATTGACCGAGAAAGGACTATAGACTCACCAACTCTGCTGGTTTAGATTTGACCCATATTACACCTCTTCCGCCAAGATGCATGTCTTGTGTTTCAGGCCCCTCAACATGAACACAGCAATAGCACATCGATTCATCTGGCCTGTCTCTTTTCTGCAGGTACGCTGCTGGCAAGCAACGTTATGCTCATGCTGGAGGTGGATGTTACTAAGATGGTCTTCTTGGTGGTGGTGTAGGGGAAGGAGCCGAAAAGTCTAATGCCATATTCAAGGCCCATGCTGCAAGAGCTCAAGACGCTCTCTAAGGATGGGGTGGTTGTTTACAACGCATTGCTCCAAAGGGACGTGATTGTGAAGGCTGAGCTGCACCTACTCACGGCTGACAGTCCAGCGCGAGCCAAAGTGCTGTCACTCGTGGCTCCCACTGCCTACAACGGTTGCTGCTATTGCCCAATGTCGGCCCTTGCCTGCAACTGCCGGAAGCACCGCGACTGGTCAAAAGCTGCAGCTTCCGACCGCACCCACTTGTCAGCAAACCAGTTCACCAATTTCAACTATGCTTTCGTGGGAAAGCTGCCCTACATTACGCCTCCCAACACATGCTCCATCGAGACCAGCTTTTG